TGCCAGTATCTGCACAGGCCCCTCACACCACCCAGGCCCCTGAGACTTTGGAGATCAAGCTGCTGTGGGCAGCGAGGGCCAGATGCAGCTCCAGCTTCAGCCACCGTTGTGCAAAACCGCTAGCACTAAGCACCCTCGCTGCCTCCCTATCAGCCAAAAAACCTGTAGGAAAAGCGAAATTTGGGAACCGGTAGCCAACGGCAAGGAGTTCCTCCCCCCATCGCAGGGTGACAGCACAGCGTGTCTCTGCTAATGTCCCCACTGGAGATGCTCACCAATAATGCAGCTGGCGCTGTCTCCTCTCGGAGCATTAATCACTGATTTTATCTGCTTTAGGTTTTGTGCCGCAGGATGGGCTGAATTCGATTATGAGAGGAACCTGCGGCTACATGACAGTTATATAATGGTCACGAGTGCAGACTATTTCAACTCTAAAACATTCATTAAATAAAATTTGCATAGTGTCTGGCTGAATGCAGCACCTTGCTAAAAATAAAGAACTTGTCCCTTTTCTTTTTAAATGGAAGAAGGATATTAGGGGGTGACAGATGACCAAGCCTGGGCTTTTAGGATCACCTGAGACCGTTCTTTAATAACACTAGCTCTCCTTTTATCCCCGTTGCCTACTGAAGTTGGTAGGATACTACGCTTTTTTACGAACTTACATGATCAATAATTTGTGTGTGAGAGCCCAAAACAGAGCCCTCCCCATCTGTCAAGATGGCTCTGATTTAAGGTTGGGAAATTACAGCTACAGCCAGGAAATGCCAAGCAGGATCCTGTCCCCTTACCTAGGACCCCTCTAGCATACTAGAGGGAAGGCATCTTTGCAACATAAGCTCCATATTATTAAATTTAAACCCTCGCAGCCCATGCTCATTAACTGCTGCTTTCTGGCCCCTTACTTGGGCCTGGAGCAGCCTGGTGGCTCTCCAAAACTTGCTGGTTGGACTGCACCAGATGCTGCCTTCGCTTCAGTATCTCTGCCAGACCAAGCAAGACTTTCAAAAAAAGCGTGCCTCAAGCTATATGTCCGTGTAAAAAGGCTCTTTCCAAAGACACATGCCAACCCGTTCCTCCAAAAGGCGGGCCCACACCTTCAGAAGGAGGAAGTCTACGCTCGGCTGCTACTGCTGCTGACATTTTTGTAGGAGCTGGGACGTCCTTTACTCCTCTGTTCTGTTTGCTTTCCATTGGGAACGAGATGCTTTTTGCAGCTGAAAGATGAAGCTTTGATTTCCTCCCTCTAAAGGCACGTGTTTCTGTTTTTACGTAAAGCTTTGGAAAGGAATGAGGACCCTTCAACCCAACCTGTAAAGCTGTGTACCTAGCAAAGAGCCCAATCTACTACCATAGTTGCGACTGCCCTTTCATCAGACTGGTAGGTACCCCTCTCACAACATACACTTTTTCGTCACCTCTATCTGCCTTTGCTCACCACTGAGAAATGCCCCAGAAGTTTTGTAGTTCTCCCTCCTGCTCTAAGAAAGCGTTAGGCTCAAAGGACTTGACTTGGACTCGAATTTCCTGTGCACAGGCACCACCACTGCTTTGCAAGTCATGTACCTACTGAGCTACTTATCAACTAGCAGAAGCCTACAACTTGCCCACACTCAACTCTCTGACACAACACAAGATTGTTTTTCAGGGGAAAAATGACACACCCCCCTCCCTCCCCCCCCCCCCCCCGCCCCCGGCCCCAGACTAAATGATGATCTTAAAACATTTTTGTATTAATGTAATTAATGGTATCTGTTTCCCCTCTGTTTTGTGATTCAGCCTTTTCCAAATCTGTAAGAAGCACCATTAGTAAAATCCTGTGGTGCGAGATCAGCATGGGGATGGAAATAATCAGTTAGAGAATAAATAGTCAGAGCAGTCATAGAAACGGTAGGCTGGAGGAGAAAAGCTCACGCGACAAGTGATGGTCGAAGAAGAGGAAAGCAAGCCTGTTCGCTGCTAAACCGGCAATAACATGGGTGGGGGAAAGAAAAGGCTGGGAGGGAACCACATCTCGGACTAAAGGAAGTCAAAGATTTTTCTGTAGGACACAGTTATTCCACAGCAAAGCTGCCACCCATTCGTTCTCGTAGCGGTGCAGGCATGCAGGTAAATGCTGCGTTGCTCGCCCACTTCCCATTTTGCTATGCAAATATTTGCTATACGGGATCTCAGGCTCTGCATGAGTTTAATCCTGCCATAGCCCTGGAAAAAACATTTGAGGAGCCTGGGGTAGGGGAGTCTGAGACCATTGCTTTATCTCCATGTGTATCTACCGGGCACCGCTCATCACATTCACAGCTGGCACTAAAAATACAATGAAACAAGAGGCATCAAGTTACAGGGCATCAGAGGAGCAGCCTCAAGATGGCGACCGCAACTGGGACAGATGGACAGCCCCTGCGCTACGGAGCCAATGGCTTCCCTGGGGATGCCACCGAGCGGAAACGCTTCCTTGTCATGGGCTCAAATCCCTAGCCAACCCAGGGTGCAGCCACAGCCACCACTTGGGCAGAAATCAGGTTCCCTCCCAAGGGTGTTTCAGGCTGAGCCCCTGGCTACAGAAGCCACTCGGGCAACTCCAACCACAGGCTCTTTCACTAAAACCATTGCCCTTCATGGCTCTTTGCCCTTCTTGCTCCCTGAAAAGCTCCCATTGCCCACGCCACATCTCGCGAGCGGGCCTGTGGCCTCCAGGGAGGACCTCCTGGGACAACCCTGCAGGAGGTTGGACCTGCTCCGCCGAACTGCTCACCGGGTGCATTTAATCTGCAACACTGGGGAAAACATTTTCTAATAAATACAGACATCACCCGCCTGCTCAAAGTCCTTTGGCTTTTGCTGAGCTTGGTGGGAGTTTTGCCACTGCCTTGCAGGAAGACAGGATCAGACCTCCAACGGCCAAGGCTTGCAGGGCTTTGTGCAAAATTCACATCTAAGTTGCTTTCACATTGAGTACTGAGTGTGTCTGGAAGCAGCTATTTTTTTGCTGGCCATCTCTTCTCTTTCAATGACTTCTTTTCTATATAAAGCCTGCGGGAAAGTCACTTCCTGGCTCACTGGGAATTTGGAGGGTGGGTTAGAGAAGAATTTGGCCTGGCCACCCAGAGAAAGGAGATGCACCAGAGCCGGAGGGCAATCGGCAACTGTCTTCACAGTGGAGGCTCTGGAAGGGCTACGGGGTTTCTAGGGCCAAGAGGCTGCCGCGGACAAGCACTCCTTCAGCTTTTTGGATGCCCCGGGCAAGAAAATAAAGAGACAGCAAACAACAACCAAGGAGGCCTCACGGGGACTTACTTTACTCTTTGACATGCTACTAGCAGTTTCTTAATCTCAGAAGACCCAAAGTAAGGGAAATTAAAAAAAAAAGCACAATACAATGATAAAAAGGTACAACACAACAAATACTCTGCTCGACTCATCCACAGGTCAGAGGTTAGTTTGTGCAGTAGGCACAAAGCAGACCTAGAATAACTGGCAAGAAAACGTCAACCACCGTTGTTCTCGCCCCTAAATGAGTTCAGCTAGCCTCATGTTTCTAGTCAGCTGTAGCCACGTTAATGGTTGTGCTTAAATTGCTCAGCTCGGCCTCCTTTCGTTGGCATCGCTCGCCCCTGCCTCAAAGGAGTGGACAACGTCTCCTGAAGACAGCAACGGAGAGAGGAACAACAAGAGAGATGCGTGGTACAGCACATACATACAGTTTCTTCTAAATTGTGATCAGTTGTTTATTGGTTGGCAAACAAGCTTCACTTTTACAACAAATATTAGTAATGAGGTCATTCGACTTGGCGACCGTACAAAATGGATCATAAATTAAACAAAGGAAAAAAAAAAAAGAAATTATAATCCTGCTGCTAGTTTACCTCTGGAAAGCCTGTGTTACTTAAAATCCTGTCAAATAAATAAATTTCCTGTTAGGAAAATAACAAACAGAAAACTTTTTTTTTCTTTTTTCCTCCTGAATCACTGCAAAATAATTCTTCTTCTTCTTTTTTTTTTTTTAGATCACTACGAGTCAACGCATTTTCTTCTTAACCACTGCAGCACAAGTGCCTAAACAGGGGAACCCGACTGAGCCGTGAAGGCCCTGAGCTCCTACAGGGATTTCGTGGCGGCACGCAGAAGCCCTGCTACGACCGTAAGAGCCCTCCCGGCTTCTCGCTGCAGCTCGGCCTGGGCGAGGGACCGCTCGCCGAAGACGCTCTCCACGGGATGACGACCGCGATCGCGCGTGCACCGTAAACATAACGTTTGCCCCTGCTCTAGTCTGCAAAAGTTGGGTTGGCAACACGCCGGCTGAAGGGAGAGATGCGGCAAGGAACTAAAAGACTCCGCGAAAATAAACTGTGATCGCCTTACTAAAAAAAATGGTCCTTGGAAAGCGATGGTCTTTTTCTTTTTCTTTTTTTTTTTTTTTTTTGCCCAGTGAGACTTTTTACTGGAATGGGAGGAAGAGGGAGGTCAAGTGAAGAGGTAAAAGAAAAAAATTAAAAAAAAATAAAAAAGTTATGAAAAACCTTGCTCCTACTGGTAGACAAACTTACAAGACCAGCACAACAGAAAAAGTTTTTTTTTTTGTTTTTTTTTTTCCACTACATTAACAGGGACGCAAGTTCTGGAGGAACAGAAAGCAGACTATATGTGCAATGCTAGTATCTGTACATTACATAGAAACTGTTCAACTTCTCTTTGTTTTTTTTTCTTTCTGCCATTAGTTTTTATCATCAGTTAATACAGCAAAACATAACATATGCATTCAGCATATAATCCTAGGATTCCCTTCCGGCTCATGAGATTTTTGCTTCGTTTGCTGCCGCCGCCGCGGCCAACACGAGCTGTGGGCGAGCCCCAACCCATTAAGTGCCACCGGGGGGGGGGACCACCGCA